GCTTATCGCTGGGTGACAAGCTCTTGTAATATGCGGAGAACATTTTGAAAATTACATCTAATCAATATAATTTATAATCTTTTTAAACCTAACTATTTTGTACCGTATCCGTGAAATTCTCTAGCCTTAAAGGCTATATCTCCCGGGTTTTCTGCAACCATGATGCGCGCGCATCCTGATTGTTTACAAACCTATAATTGGTCTATACGCTTGCTGAGAGTACCACAAAAAAAGTGAGGGCATTTCATTATTAATTAGCCTAAAATCTAATTCAAAACATATCTGCCAAGCTCTTAAAAATGTCATATTCATATTTATGTTGGTTTCATACATTTAAAAAAAAACATCTACAATTTTCAAAATGATTTGCTAAAAATGTAAAATAACGCACATATATGTCATGACAAAAAAAAAAAGGCTATCTGCACGTTAGTGATTTTGCTCAATTTGACTGTGAAATACTGATTTTGAAATATGAATAGTACTATATAGGAACTGCTTCTTTTTTTTAAATAAATAATAATAATAAAACATTGCATTGACAGTATAGCTGAGACAATTTAACATGCCTATGGATTGGCACTTCTTCTGTTGAAACAGCTCTGTCAGTCCTAATGGTGAGAGAGCTGCAGCACGTGGATGTGACAGCTCCTGCAGATGCATGCTTTGAATGTGAAGTCTCTTTGCCTGTGGCCAAGGCACCTACCTGGACCCTGAATGGGGAGACACTGCATCCTGGTCCTAAAGTTGTGGTGGAGAAAATGGGAACCATTCATAGGCTCATTCTCAAACAAACATCCGAAGACATGAGCGGCACAGTGTGCTTTATCACAGGGAGAGTCAAAAGCACTGCACATCTGCAAGTCATAAGTAAGTTGTATATTTTGTTATAGTAGATAATGCATGTTTATATATTGCCAAGTAAAAGTTTACAATATGTGCTTATATACTGTACATATATACTGTAGAATTACCTTTACTCCGAATAGGAGATGTTTTTGATGCCTATTCTTAGACATGGAGTCTGGACTTGTTTTAATAAGAACTTGATACACACTAATAGCTTGGGGCCATGTGATTTACATTGGTATCCAGCTGAGGGTAAGGGTTTATCAAGTGACTGCTGACTTATTAATCTTTCTATTTTTCTTTTTGGCAGGTAACCACTGAGAAACAACACATAAGCACTTACAGTGCATAATGCTCAACTACGCCACTATTTAAATACAAAAATACCAAATGAAATTATGAAACTATTAACTGTTTTAATGTGTCTGAAAGAGATAGGTCTATCTTTAATTTATTTGAAATGCAAATTTAAAATCTTTATTATGCTGTTTTACACATCATTTCCTGCTCTTCATGGTTTACCAATCATTACATAATAATTTTTCAGTTTTTCTAAATTTATGATCAAACACATTGTGCTTTATAGGCTACACAAAAAATGAACAACACCAGGCCAGACACCCAGACATGTAATTCACCCATGTTGTTACTGCTTAAATTTCTTGCACAGTAATTTGGTATTTAATTTTGAAATTTGTGTACTACTGTATATCCTTGTATAGATATCCTTTGTGTTGTTTTTTTCATTCTTGTTTTGTGGGATGCAGATTAAAGTGAGGTTACGGCGAAATAAAAATGTGCAGGGCCAAAGATGATCAAAAGAGGGTTTGGGACGGAAAGTAACTTCAGCATATATAACAAATACACTGAATTCAAGAATACAGACGTTTTACAAAGTAGGGAAACATTTACAAATAAATGAAAACGGTTTTGATAGTTTTAGTTGTTTGCTTCTGTTGTAATCAGAAGGTATGTCACAATTCTTGCCTTTTACTGAAGTATCCGAATAAAGTGCTGCAATTTTCCCTTGTTAAGCAATATCTTTCAATAAAATTTAAAAACTAATTTTCTTGAGGAGTGTTCTATTGTCTCTATTTTAGTGAACAGTCAATACTGTACTGACCAGATGTCCCTCTTCAAGATCAACACTGCTGTCTACTGGTACTGCAATCCAGAAAGCAAAGTTTTGTACATGACTTACATTCTCTGTTCATTTACCTACTTATCTTCGCGCGCTGTTCCAAACCGATAGGCCTATGACTTTCTTAAACTATTTAAACTTTCTTTCTATAAACATTTCTATATTTTACCAGTGCATTCTCTAGTATATTACAGAAAAAAAATGATGATGTATGTATGATGATGATAATAATAACAAAGTCATTGGGGTTAATTAAGTTATTTGTAATGGCTTGTAGCTTAACAGGTCACAAACACCAGGAAGTTTTTACTTGCTTTGTCTTCATTTTGTAGCCAACCTCTATAACCACTGAACTCGATTGTCTGAATCATAATACCTCAATTAATGTATTTTTTAATTACATACTACATACCACATCCCAGAACCCTAGTTTTAGAAGCACTTAGAAAAGGCCAAGGGAAAGAAATCTCACCTTATTTTTCAACGCGGAAGTAAGCCATTTTCTGTGAATGTGCGAGACTTCCGGTTCATTAGCCGCTGTGAAATAACGAGAAGAATAACAAAGCACGGTAAAAAATGGTTAGCACTACAAACCAGTGCGTGTTCATCGTTAAGACGATACATTAAAATAATTTGGTAAGACACACCAATTTGCAATATCAAGCAGCAAAACGAGCTGTTTTTACATCGAAAAATAGCTGGAAGCAATGACACCGGAAGCCAGACACATAAAATTTACAAATGGTCGCCTCGTACGCTCTTATGGGTTGGGATTAGTCTCAGCCTCAGACTTCACGCCCACATATGGCACACAAAAGTGGAAACACTTCAGGAGTTTCGAAGTCGTCATCGGATTGGCTGAATTATACAGGATATCCGGGAGACGTGTGTGTCGCGTTCTTTAACATTCCGCCTGGAAACAAAGACGCCGTGACGCCAAACCCCCTCATGAAAGAAGAAAGCCGTCTTGACGGTCTTGTTTACAACTGTGACCAGGAGCGCTTATCAGGATCAACTAAATGCTGGATTTTCAAAAGTATGTGAAAAATTTAAAGTTCGCGGCACAGAATCTTTAAAGGGGTCATATGATGCTGCTAAAAAGAACATTATTTTGTGTATTTTGTGTAATGAAATGTGTTTATGCGGTTTAAAGTTTAAAAAACACATTATTTTCCACATACTGTACATTATTGTTTCTCCTCTATGCCCCGCCTTT